TGGAAGGGCTGAGGGGGTAGGGGGGCTGGGGAGCCCCCCGCTCAGCCACCACGGCCCCTTACAGGCGAGGAGTACCAGCCCCTGATCCCCACCCGGGAGACCTCTCTGCGCATCCTCACCACTGCCCTCAGCCCCTTGGACTACCGCAAGTGGAGGAGGAAGCCCTGGTACTGGCGTCTCTTCAAGGTCTTCAAGGTGAGTAGGGGGGGACACAAGCCAGAAGGAGCCACCACTCAGGGCGTCCCCCTCCCTGCTGGCCCCTGGGGCTGCACCACCCCTGGGCTTCACAAAAGGGATGGTGGGACAAGGGCAGGCGGGTGGGGGCAGGTCGTGGGCCACCTCCCGGGGTGTCCCATCTTGGGGGTCCTCCATCATTGCTTACAGCTGCTCCTCCCAGGTGCCTGTGGAGCTGGCCCTGCTGCTCACTGTTCCCGTCGTGGACCCCGACAAGGATGACCTGAACTGGAAGAGGCCCCTCAACTGCCTGCACATCGTAACCAGCCCCCTGCTCTGCGTCCTCACCCTGAAGTCAGGCGCCTGTAAGAGCCCTGGCAGCTCTGGACACCCAGGCGGGGACGGGACCAAGATGGGCACCAAAGCCCTGGGGACTGCAGGAGCCCTTTGGAGCTGGCACCCTATCTGGGGAGGGGAGGACAGGCCAGCGAAGAGCCAAGCTGGGGGGCCTGGTTTTGCAGCTGGATGGCTCCATCCTCCCCCCAGGGGTGGGGGTTTGGCCCCCCCAGCATCCAAGTCCTGGAGGAAAAAGGGGGCAGGCCTGGCCTGCCTGGGGAAACTGAGGCACAGAGGGGAGCAGCCGTGTGAGGGCTTAAGGCAGAGGTGGCTTTAGAGGACAAGGCTTTAACTCGTACCATGAGCCTGGTCAGATCCTGCCCCAGCCCCTGTGGTGCTTGTGGGGCCACTCTGATGCCCCCTCTCTCCACCATGTGCAGATGGACTGTACCAGATCCAGGGCATCTTCCCAGTCTGGGGACTGGTCACACTGGTTGGCTTTGTCCTGGCCATCATCACCTTCATCACCACAAGCAATGAGGAGCCGCCCAAGTACCACTGCGTAAGGTGCCCCCCAGCCCTGAATGCCCACCAGGGACCAGCCCAGCCCTCTCTGGACTGGGCTGAGGGTCCTGGGGCTAGAGCAGGAGCCAGGACCTCCTTCCCAGTCCCCAATGTCCCCAGGAGGGACACAGCTGGCTGGACATGTGCAGGATCCTGCGGGACGCACCTAGGGACCAGCTTACATCTCTGCCCGGCAGGTATTTGCCTTCCTCGGGTTTTTGGCCAGTGCCATGTGGATCAATGCTGCGGCCACGGAGCTGGTGAACATCCTCCGGACCCTAGGCGTCATCTTCCAGCTGAGCAACACCGTGCTGGGCTTGACACTGCTGGCCTGGGGCAACAGCATTGGTGGTAAGGGCTCTGCTGCGCCCCAGTGCCACCCCAGGTGCACCCGTCCTCCTGGCATCCCCCAAGGTCCCCCCTTCTCCCTCTGCAGACACCTTCTCTGACCTCACCATGGCGCGGCAGGGCTATCCCCGCATGGCCTTCTCCGCCTGCTTCGGGGGCATCATCTTCAGTATCCTTTGGGTGCAGGGGGGAGGTGGTGGTGGTACTTGGAGCAGGGGATGCCTTAGTTTCCCTGCCTGCAGCTCAGGGAGAGTCCCTGCTCCTGGGGCACCCCTGGGAAGGAGCTGGGCAGGATCCATCCCAGAGTCCCTGGGATGTTGGCGACCTCCCCGATGCCCGCGCAGTGCAGGGGGACACGTGTGGCATTTGTGAACTGCAGGGATGGAGCCAGCAGCATCCCCCATCCCACTGCTGTCCCAGCCCCAGTGGGGTGGGGATTTGGGCTGGAGTCTGACAGATTTGGGATCTGCCATAGGGAAGGAGGGGAAGAGGCTGTGGGGGGCTTTGTGTGGTCCTCAGACCAGGCTGAAGCCTCTCCTCCTCCAGTGCTCCAGGCTGTATTCACCACAAACAGGCAACGCTTTGGACTTAGGCAACAGCCATGGGGGCACAGGCAGGGAGGAGGAGGGCTGGTGCTGTTCCCCTCCCTGGGGTGGGAGGGATGTGGCCAGCTCCGCCATTCCCCTGAGGTCTCCTACGCTGCGTCTCCATCCTGAACGTGCCCTAGACATCCTGGTTGGCGTGGGACTCGGCTGCCTGCTGCAGATGAGCAGCAGCCAGCTGGTGGTGAAGGTAAGGGCTGCAGCGGCAGGGTGGCACGGGTCAGGCTGCAGGACCGCGCTGTCACTCCACATCGCTCCCCATCTCTCCGGCAGCTGGAGCCCGACAGCCTCCTGGTCTGGATCCTTGCCGGGGCCCTGGGACTGAGCTTGGTCTTCTCCTTCGTGTCGGTGCCAGCGCAGTGCTTCCAGCTGGGCAAGGCGTATGGTGTCTGCCTCATCCTCTACTACCTGGCCTTCCTCTGCGTGGCCCTGCTGACCGAGTTCAGGGTGATCCATCTCTCCGCCATCTGAACGGCCCCACCACCGACAGGAGATGCACATCCATCTCTGGCTCTTGCTCTGCCTCCCCGCCGGATCGGGGCCTCGCTGTCCCCTCTCCCTGTCCC